CTCTCTCTGTCTCTCTCTTTCTGTCTGCCTGAAAGTCCTGTCTACTATACCTCCTGCCTAGATATTGCCATTGAGCTTTTTTATTACACCAATCATAGCAATATATCTTCCCACCATGTGCAAATATCCCACACAAATGAGGCCAGAGAAGCAGCTCAGTGGTTGATCACTTATGTGGCCCTGGGGTTTGACTGACTCTGTCAAAACAAAAATAGGGTTCAGTGAAATAATACATATGTCATAACTGATATACCTCCTCTCTGTACCATGGCATTTGATATCTTTGTTGATGCTAGCATTGTTAGTAGCATTCAAGTTTGTCTTAGTTGGGTTTCCATTGCTGTGATGAACAGCATTACTGAAAGACTTGGGGAGAAATGGGTTTATTTTCAGCTTCCATCTCTCAGGTCACAGTCATCACTGGGGAGGAACCTGAGCAGAGTTCCTGGAGGAACTCTGCTTGATGTTTGCTCCCTGAGGAGCTCAGCCTGTTTGGTCATGACACTCAGAACTGTCTGCTGAGAGACAGACTGTCACCAGTGAGCTTGACCATCCCAAATCAATCATTAATCAACACAATACCCCTCAGACTGACTACAGGCTGATCTTATGGAAGCATTGTCTCAAATAAGAGTCCCTCCTCCAGGTATAGCTTTGGGTCAGGTTGACAAAAACCAACCAGTGCAATTGCGAATTGTTCATCATAATACAACTGGGAAATTTTATAGGGTAGACTTAGGAATTTAGGAGGAAGAAATTAATCAGGAAACACTGGCATACAACACTGAACAGAGTCTCCAACAGAATCTGCTTCTGACAAGTGGGGACAAAGGCTGAGTCATTTGTTGCCACACCTCTGACCACAGTTCTGTGCGCAGCTGCCCAGCTCACTGTACACCATTAACAGATGCTTATGAAGTGGATATAGGAAATGTCCTATCCAATTTACAAAGTACTAATGGGCTACTTTGAGGCAACATTCTGGGTGGATAGGATAAAATAAAAGGCCTCAGGATCTTTCTATACAGAACTGTTTTAGTAAGTCCTTACACCACCACCCCCATAAATGCCCCAAAGTTTCTAGTGTTCAGAACGTTTAAATTCATTAGATTCATTATTTATCTAAAGGAGTAAATAAATGAAAGACTTCCAAGTCACTTTCCCTAAGGAATGGCCTGACTACCCCACACCCATGGAAAATGCAGCTGTGTGTGCTATACTTTGTGGCCAAGGATGAGGAAGTGTTTACTGGTATTTTTTTACATCTCTGTTTTGATCCAGTTGTGAAATGTAGAAGAATGGTAGCCAGGGTGAAATTTTAGAGGGATGGATGTATTACAGATGTAGGTATGTGAAGGATGGAGGCTAGAGTTGGGCAGGAGGCTGCGCAGCCTATGTTGTGGCTTCCCTTCAATTCCCTTTTTTCCACTGCTGTAAAATGCCTCTGAAGGGCAAATGGATAGAGGAGGTGTTTGTTTGTTTGTTTGTTCATTCGGTCTTTTTTTTTGGGGGGGGGGTTCGAGACAGGGTTTCTCTGTGTAGCTTTGGAGCCTATCCTGGCACTCGTGCTGGAGACCAGGCTGGCCTCGAACTCACAGAGATCCGCCTGCCTCTGCCTCCCGAGTGCTGGGATTAAAGGCGTGCGCCACCAACGCCCGGCTTGTTTGTTTGTTTTTAATTTGACACTTTAAATTTACTATTGGGATGTCTAGGAAACCATGGCTTGATCATTCTCAAACAGTGGGCAGTGCTGATTAGCCAGTTTCCATGTGCCTATTTGTTTGGGGTAAAGGTCATTTGTCAGAATTGTTTTCATTGTAATGCCATGGGTAACTGAGAAAATTTCAGTTAGGAGAGACAGCATGAAAAAGGAGTCTGCACAGACTTTTGGGAGTAAACTTAAACTTGGGTCATGGGGCCACCTTTGGGACTAGTCACATTGCTTCAGGAGAGGGTTGGGAGAGCTAGCTTTGTGTACTACCAGCTGGTGGTCTATAATAGCTAGTATATAATTCAATTTAAACCATTTTTTTCTCTTCTGGGAAACTCAGTAGCAACCAGTTGCAAAATCAGCTGGTGGTCTATAATAGCTAGTATATAATTCAACTAAAGCAATCTAAACCATTTTTTTCTCTTCTGGGAAACTCAGTAGCAACCAGTTGCAAAACCAGCCCTTTCAGACTCTTAATGTGAGACACAGGTCTGTGGCTCGTGCCTAAGCCTGTGTGGCATCAAGCTTTGGGGCTGTCACTGTAGTCATGTACGTAGGTGCACAAGCTATTTTTACTTTCAGATTCTTCCAGATTTTGTGGGCTAGTGTTTTTTTGTTTGTTTATTTTCTTTTGTGTTTTTCAAGACAAGGGTTCTCTGTGTAGTCCTGGCTGTAGACCAGGCTGGCCTAGAACGCACAGAGATCCACCTGCTTCTGCCTCACAAGTGCTGGGATTAAAAGCATGCAGGGCTTGTGGGCTAGAGTTTTAACTTCCAGTTCCTTTAGAGGGCCATAGGCTACAAATGAGGCAGTTTCTTTAGCAGTCAAGAGGAAAGAGAAGGGGAGCCCAGTTCACCATTTGTACTCGATCCCTGGCCATCTTTAAGCTCCTATGTATCGTTCTTGTGCACAAAATGGCAATCCTGAGCATTAGAGTTTATAGTTTTAAAATGTGTTTTCCCAGGAAGCTGGTCATAGTCCTCTCAGATATTAATGGGACAAAACCCTCTGATAAGGATTGTGCCCTTGGAGGCCTTTAATATTTAATGCTGATATCATAGAGGTACTGGCCTAAGAGAGAGCAGTAAATTATAAAATAACACCCAGAAGCTCATGTCAAATGAATCAGAACAATTGATTTTCTTCTCAAACATGAGCTTGCCACGGGAAGTGTTTTAATATGGCAGAAACAGGGCCAAGAGGCTTAGATTTAGAATGAATGAGGAATGGAAGATAAATGACATGGTACGGTACAATTTATGAAGAATATAAAATGCAACTGTGCAGAGAGGTAAGGAAGCATGGTGACTTGTTGAAATATGGTGTCCCATGAGAGGACACTGATGTATATTCCTGGGAAACCATGGAAGAAGCTGAGATGAACCCACAATTTAGAGGGAGTCTCTCCAGAGACCAACTATTAAATACACATGATATTCTTGTGACATCTCTTCATTGCCATTTAATATTAAACCTGTCAGGACTCTTAACCAGAGATTACATTCAACAGTTTATTGTGGGACGCATTCTTCGAAGATGGCCAGACCAGTAGGCTAGGAGGGCTGGAGGCTTTGATTGCTTGTGTCTCTGTGAAACCCAAAGCTGCTTTGCAATAAACGGCTCCACACTGAATGAAGTGTCAGTCTCTAAAGGAATACAGCATGAAAAATAACGAGAGCCCCTGAAGACAGGACGTTCATGAAGTCATAACTGATTAGGAGTGGATTTATTATTGTACTCAAGGTGTAATACAAAATAATTTGTCAGTCGCTGGTGGAATGAAGTTAGACATTATAGAAAGCAACTGCAGACATCCATCTTATCTTACCTTCAGTTGCTAAAATGAACCATAACATAGCATTTCCTATTCATTATATTTTGGAAACAGGTTTCTGATTAATATTGTTTCAAGTTCTCTTACTGATGTTTTCAATAAGATACTTAGAAAGAAATAATTAAGTTTTATATTAATTTTCTTAGATCCATTTTATCAACATTTCCTATTTGTGTAGTTTCTATGTATTTTCCCTTATAAGATCATACACTATAATCCTGTGTACACATACACACACACACACACACACACACACACACACACACACACACACACACACACACACACACACACACACACTCTGTTCTTCTAAATCACAAGGTTAGGTGATTTCCTTTTACAGATGGTTACTTGGTAGCCCCAGGGAACCAAAAGTGAAAGAGCTGTCTAAGGCCAGATACAATTCTAGGAACATAATGAGAGCAAACATACAGAACTTAAATATAAGGTTTTCACTAATCTACCCATTGTTCATCTAGAAGTTGCTGGCTATTATACTTGCACAGTTTTTATTTACTATACTTTCATATTCATGTGCCAATAAATTGTTTTTTTTTCCTTTGCAAGAATGGCATAACATAAGGGATCGCTGGGAAAGATAAATGCTTCACTGTGCAGTCTGGGCAGCACATTGTGTGCATTTCCTCAGTCAACGCATAGACTTTGAAGACTTGAATCTTCTCCTTCAGCATTTCTCTGGAACATCCCCAGGCTGGTGATCACTAGATTCCGTGGTGTCCACTGACTGCTGTGTAGATGACAGCTGACCTTTGCAGAGGAAGCAGTTCATGAAGCTACACACTCACTGTGCACTGCTCAGGCAGGCCCGTTGCCAGTGAATACAGTTAAGCAAGAAAAAGACCAAGTAGCGCTTGCCAAATGTCTCCTGTTCCCCTCCTAGCCCCTCAACCCATTTTCCACTTTTTCTTTGTAAAATACTGTTAATCTTTTTTTCTTTCCATTCTATCACTATCTCAACTCAAATCTTCATCCATTCATGCCACAACTTCTGAAGTAATGTTTAAAGGAGTCCCACACCAGCTAAGGTTTCCCCTGTCACTGAACATTAGAAATAAATATACACTTAATTACTTTCCTAACACCCTTCTTTCATGAAATCCTCCTACTCAATACTTTAACTCAGTTACTTTGAGTAGTCCCCTAAACTTGAACTACCCCAACTCAGACATATATTAGCTAAAATTGAGATGTTCTCCATTACTTGGTGAAGAAATCCCTCCAAGAAATTTGCCTTGGTGCTGGGTTTATCACATACTGTTCCACAATGAGGTCAGTTTCTGACACCAAGACCTTAGCTGCCTTCGTCTTCCTCCATCCTAATTCTCTGTGTTCTAATCTTCTTTGAATACCCAGATGCTGTCTTAGCCCTTCTATCCGGCTTACCTGTTCTGAATCCCTGCCCACTTTCTGCCTTCATAGGCATTTTCAGACAGCAGGCTCTTGCTCAAGTGTGCATCCCACATCCTCTGAAAGGCTTGCCTTTGTGATATCTCTGACAACTGTCTGTCTCTTTTGCTTCTGTTGCTAAGGGACAATACCATCCATAAAACTTCAAGGAGGTCGCCTATTTTTCTTCGTCCTCACATTCAGTTCATTCCCAAGTCCTATTAGTTCTATTCATCCAAACATGTCTCCTATAATCTTCCCTCATACTTACTGCTACCACAGTGACACTAGGCACCATCACTCAGAGCTTTATAGCTCTCTCCTAAAGAGTCACCCAAACACATTCTCCATGAAACAGCCACTTAACACATGCAAACACATAGAAATCAGACTGTGTTTCTCCCTTGCTGAATGGTCCACATTTAGCATCAAATATAGACACAGCGGTAGCGCTTCTCAAACTCATCTTGGGCCCCTCTCACTGTGATGTATTGCATTCCAACAACAATGGACTTCAGCTGATTCCTAGACTGCCTCACCACCAGGACTCTTAAACTTCTGTGCCTGTAGTCATAGCCATGTCATCTCCCAACAGATCTATTTTTGTAGCTGTTGACACCCCTCCCTCTTTCATGTACTCAATTATACTTCTGTAAGACCTTTATTAACCATTCCAAATAAAGAGGTCACCATGTTTTCATATTTTACCACAGAGTACAATTTATTTCTCATAGGAAATGTATCTTCTAATCGTTAATGACTTGTTCATGAACTACTTGATACTGTAGTCTCCATTTGCTAAGCTTACCCATTGTAAACACTGAATGTAAGCTCCGTGAAGTCAAACAGGGGTCTGCTTATTCAATTTTGTGTTCCCAGTGCTTGGCTTTGGCACTGGCAGCAGTGAGTGTTAATTACGTGATGATTAATTGGGGGAAATTCAGACCACCTTATCTTTAGGACTCTGTACCATTTGTATGAGTTTGTTTGATAATGGGCTTGTTTTCTTTTTTCAGTGTCTACAACATTCTCCTAAGTATCTTTTGATTTCATTTTCTTAATTGTTAGTGAATTAAGAACCTAAGTAAGAACCTTGAACTGTCCAACAGAGCATGTGAGATGGGGCTGAAAGAAAAGAGAAACATTTACTAGGAAACATCTTATTATTCCTTGTATTAGACACTAAATATTGGTCAAGAACTTTGATCAAGACTTAGTAAAAGCTTGCCAAATAAAACAGTGTACTCGTATAAGATGACCGAGTCACCATGGAGAATTTGGTGCAGATTTATCTTCGGTTCAGCACTTCTTAAGAGAAGTAAATTACTTCCTCTGACCTGGCAAAGAACTGCACAAAGAATTGAGGCAAGACTTATGATGGATAAGCAACTATGTGACAGTTGGGGAAAACCGGAGTTCTCTGATAAACTGATATCCTTGAGGGCAGAGGCAGAGCAGAGGACGCAATGATAGGATTACAAGGAAGGAAGAGGCCTCCAGAGCATCGCCCATCTGCCATGACTAAGAGCAGCAAGAAGATTCCAGAAACATGGTCCATTTGGGGAAGGGGCTCATGCAATCCTCTCCTTTGTTTGCTTTCCCTTTCCTGTGTTAGAGTGAAAGAGGAGCTCTACTGAGGGCTTCCACCAAACTGTCTTAAAATAACTTGGAGTAACATCTTGAGAATATGACCACATCTGAAATGAGAAAAGCCTGTTACCATGAGAATAACTTCCATATGTGACACCCAGCTCCACTCTTCCTGTGGTACACCAGCCTGGGTTCCATATACTCCTCCCTCAGGGTTCTCTCAGCTTCCTCTGCTTGGGAACAGGACTTGATGGTGCTTGCTAGCTCCTCTAGTCTACTCTTGTTGACCCTCTTACTAGGAGGGTGTCTTTCCAGAAGCAGGCTTACTAACTGTGATGGTTTAAACTATACTGCATTTTATAGATATATAGAAAACATTTCTCACTATTCCTTAATTTTCTATGCTAGTGGTTATTGTGGAAAAACTATGTCCTATGACTCCATAAGTTGACAAGAGAGATGAAATGTCACCATCCATTTTAGAAAGTCACAAATTCTGACAATGAACATGTTATTTCTGTATTTTAGGAATCAATTATATAATTTATGTTAAAAATTAACACATAATATTGAACTTGATGTATAAGAAATAGAACTAATTGTAAAGTCCTGCTTATATTTAAAAAGATTTCCATTTGGATATTATATAGAAAGAATCAGCAATACATTCAAACTATGACCCAGTTTTTAAAATCAAAATTAAATATTTATATTTTTTCTTAGTCCGTGACCTATTTCATATATTCTCCTAAAGATTTTTTGATAATTTACAGTGGATTGAAAGACAGAACAAAATAATACAGAACAAAAATCATCAATAGTAGATGAAGTGAATTTATATGCTGAAAACATGTATGTTTCAAAATGTGCTTAGTATTATCTGGTATATTTTCTCATACTGTGAAGACATTATGTTAATGACCCTTACCACAGCTTTTTATAGTTTTTATAGTTTATTTTATATTAATCAGATTCGGTACTAATTTTACATTATATATAACATGCAGATATGACATTATAAGTTATTGACTTAGCTATTTTTCTGTTGCTATGACAAATGCATCTTAATGGAGAAAGTGTTTGGCTTACAGTTCTAGCAGAGATATCACATACTCAATGGTGGCAGAGGAAGCATGGCAGGAAAAGTTTGAGGCTGGCCTGTCACACTACTTCTGCAGTCAAAAGGTAGAAAGAGAACAGGAAATGGGGCTACCTCAAACCCTGATCCCTCTCATACTTCCTCTGGCAAGCTTCACATCCTTTAGGTTTCATAACCCCCCCAAACCTTGCCACCATATGTGGATCAAATGTTCAAACACAGGAACCAATGGGGGACATTCTGCCTTCAAACAACAGATAATGTAAAACAGAAAAAGTAACTGAGACATAAAGCTTTTAATCATTTTTTAGCACACTAATTCTTTAGTCAGAGTGAGAACTAAGGGTTCAGAAACCAGAAAAATATATTTCATGATTCAGAAATGCTTGAATATGCGTGAACCAATGCAAGGCATGCTTGGAGAACCCCCCTCCCTCCACACACACACACACACACACACACACACACACACACATTTGAGTACCAACCCTGTTGCTTTGGCTCAGTCCATCAATGAGCCAAGCATTATTGGAGTTTTGACCTCTTTTGCATGTTGTTTTCCAAACGAACAAAGAACAGATTCCCCTTTGAGTTTTACACATTTAGAACGATTTATAGCAAAGACCTTCTGTTGCTGGCTTTCAATAGAAAATGGGATTTTCCCTTTAGATATTGTTTCTGTGCTCACGCAAAGGGCTGGGACTTCACTTTTTTCCTTCCCTGGTCTTCCCACAATCCTGTTCTATGCTGCAAGAGGCAGATCAGTGAGGCCCACGCAGTTCCTCTATTTCTCCTTGCCTTTTAGTAGAGCAAGGAAGACCAACCAAAGCATCCAATGGGGGGATAAATTTGCTCCATATAATTTAGTGTCTTTTCTTATGACCTCCTCATAAGGAGGGGCCATTTTCTGCCTGGTGTTAACCCCTCAATGCATAGCCTCGGCAGAACACTCACTTCCTGTCCATGCCATTGTAAATGATGTTTGTATTAAAAGCTGTATGTATATCCATGGATCAGTTTATCTAGGATATTTCCCATTGGGAACCTGATATACACAGAATGTTAGTGGTTCTGTTCTCTACACAAGTTGCAGCTAAAGAATGTCTTCTATTCCTCATGTTTGTCATATGTCATAGGTGTTTGAACAGGTCACTTAGTCTTTATTTTTAAAGAGGAATTCAAAGCACTCGATTCAAGAAAACTAACCAGGATGATTAAATGAACTAACGTGTGTATATATAAGAAGCATGTGACACAGCAGGGATTTCCATGTAAATAAATTTCATGTTGACAGAATAGTGTTATTTGCCTCTAAAATACCATTTTCCCTCAAGCGCTGTGAGCTCTGCTTAAGTGTGACTTGAGCTTTATTCACAGACTATTAGAGGATTTATGCTTGATGTCAGATTTAAGAAATTATCACATTTATGTTCATTAAATAATGTTGAAAATATGTGGCTTTCTAGCCAGCCGAGGATTGAGCTGTTGACAGAACTCTAGTTGGTTGGAGAAGAGCAAAAATAAACATTTTCCTTTGTATCTTTCACTGGGACATCCTCTCTTTCCAAAAATAGCACAGATAATTTATTTTGTTCAAGAATTATTATCCCATGATTTCTAGAAAGAAAACAAATACAAATGGAAACATAAACAAACTAGAAATTATGTCTTATCCTTTATTTTTAATCCTATTTTTATGGTCAACTTTTTATCTTTTGTGCTATCATCAGGCAATAATGATGACCTACAAGTGCTATGTTAAACTGAATGTGATTTATAACGCATTTAATTAATGTATGTAGTATCAGACTTGCCCCCAGATGCCATGTTCAATACAGCAGTAAATAGTTTGGCATAGATGTGAAATGCTGATGGCACCTCTGGAAGGAAGGATGATGTTTGGGAGGGAATTTTTTTTCTGCTGTGATTTTTTTAAAAAGCCTTACAATCCTTGTGTTGGAAGACTTGAATGAGATTGTAGCTCAAACTCTAATTGGTTTTAATAATAAAAACCTGGAGTCAGATATAGGGGCTAATGCTGAAAGATCAGAGAAGCAGAGCAGCCAGTCTCTGGATCTTACTCCTTTCTCAGACCAAAAGGGCAATCCTGTCCCTACGAATCCTCAGACTGAATGCTATGAGTGCCTGTCTCCTCCCACCTTATATTACTCTTTCTGCCCATCTATATCACTCCTGTCTCCACCTCCCTAGTGCTGGGATTAAAGGTGTGACCACCACTGCCTGGCCTCTATGGCTGTGGCTAGTTCTTCACTTTGATCTTCAGACAAGCTTTATTTGTTATAGAACAAACAAAATATGGTCTCATGAGATGGCATCTTGTTTGTCCCATTGACTCGTTGTACTGAAAGCAATGATCACTTGAGGATATTGTGGAGTTGGCATATTAAAAGAAGAGGAAAAAGTTATGGGGCATGGGGAATGTAAGCTGTGAAAAACTGAAATAGCACACTTCACTTAAACATTTAAAGAACCATCTACATGGCCAACCCCATACCAAGCACCTAAATACTTCTTTCTAATGTTACCCAACAAAAGGAAGAAGAGTAGTGTGAAATCTTCATTTAGTATTGAGTCAAGATAAACACAAAGATTAGCCTGGATAATGTCATAGTGACAGAAAGTAAAAGTGCTATTTAAACACACACACACACAGACACAGACACACACACACACACACACACACACACACACACACACACACACACACACACACACAGTATCAGTAATAAGAGAAACAAATTGTAGTTATATGGGACACTAACTCTGTACTTCTCTTACTTTCCATAAATTAAAGTTATCTTAAAATAAGTTGGTAATTTAAAATTTGGCCATGATCTTATCACTCTAAAACTGATAGCATTGTCTCATGCATTCTCATTGTCTAAGCACTGCTGGAGTACTTTTCTAGATACAGTGTAGATGAACTATCTTTTTGTTCCAAAGTCTGTCAGGATTGCTCCTGTCAGAAATGGGATCCCCTGACCACAGTGCTCAAAG